CGACCACCTGGAGATCCAGCAGCAGTACAGTCGCATCAACGTCCGCTGGGACGCCTCCGACGATGAGCTCGACAACGACAACAGCTCGGCCCGGCTCTTTGAGCGTTCCCGCATCAAAGCCCTGGCAGGTCTGGGGCTCGGCGGACCCCGGGGCTGCCGCCTCGTTCCCCCAGGAACGCGCCCGGGGGCTCAGCCTTGCCCCACGCCAGATCCTACCCCTGGTTTTCTGGGTCCTGTTGACCCTTCTGTGTGCCCTCCATCCCCTTGGGTCCCCTCCATCCCCTTGGGTCCCCTCCATCCTCCCGGGTCCTCTCCATCCTCCCGGGTCCCTTCTGCTCTCCTGGGTCCCCTGAGTTCCTTCCGCCCCCGATGCGGTGGGGCTGAGGTATGTCCCCACCGCCAGATGCCACTGTGCCTGATCTCGTTGCAGATGAGCGGGAGGCCGTGCAGAAGAAAACCTTCACCAAGTGGGTGAACTCCCACTTGGCTCGTGTGACGTGCCGCATCTCTGACCTCTACATGGACCTCCGAGACGGACGGGTGCTCATTAAACTGCTGGAGGTGCTTTCGGGAGAGCTCCTGGTATGACTCCCCTCCAGCTGGGGACCCGGGGGCCAGAGCTGGGCCGGGCTGTGCTGTGCCATGCAACCCTGGCTCCAGGGCTCCCAGTGTGGGTATTGGGGTTAGGACGGTTTGGGGACATGGTAGTGCCCAAGGGGTGGCCCCTGCTCCTGTGGGGTGTCACAGGCAGCCAATGGGCAGGGATGGTGACACCTCGCTAGCGAGGGAAGGGTGCTGCAGGGCTGGGCCAGGGCGAGTGCTGAGTGCTGCCGTCCCCTAGCCCAAGCCCACCAAGGGCCGGATGCGGATCCACTGCCTGGAGAACGTGGACAAGGCGCTGCAGTTCTTGAAGGAGCAGCGGGTGCACCTGGAGAACATGGGCTCCCACGACATCGTGGACGGCAACCACCGCCTCACCCTCGGCCTCATCTGGACCATCATCCTGCGCTTCCAGGTGGGGCCGTGCCGGTTTGCCTGCCAGCACTGCTGCAGGGGCCACCCCTTCCCCAAAGGGAGCCGTTGCCCATGGAGCCCCCCCCCAACCCCAGGGATGTCCTTCTGCCTCCTCAGATCCAGGACATCATCGTGCACACGCAGGAGGGCCGGGAGACGCGCTCCGCCAGGGACGCGCTGCTGCTCTGGTGCCAGATGAAGACGGCGGGGTAGGTGGTGGGACCCCGACCGCATCTGGACCAGCTGGTGGGGTTTGGGGATGCCCAAAGGAGGGAGATGGGGTCTGGAAGGGCACCGTGAAGCTGTCTGGCTGTGGCACGGGGTGATGCCTGTCCCTCCGCCAGGTACCCCCACGTGAACGTCACCAACTTCACCTCGAGCTGGAAGGACGGGCTGGCGTTCAACGCCCTCATTCACAGGCACAGGTAAGTGGGGCCAGGCAGCCAGCCTGCAAGGCTGCCTTCTCCCCGGCCACCGTGCTGCCACCATCGCCAGGAGATGCCAGGGCAGCCTGGGGAAGTGGTGGCAGGAGGTGCTGGGTGCTACAGGGGGGATCCTGCGGGAGCGCCGTCCCCTCGCCAGCTGCGTCACCACCGTCCTGCACCTTCGTCCCCAGGCCCGAGCTGGTTGACTTCCACAACTTGACCAAATCCAACGCCCGACACAACCTGGAGCACGCGTTCAGCGTGGCAGAGAGGCACCTGGGCATCACCCCGCTCCTCGACCCTGAAGGTAAGGCTGCGGGGCTGAGCTGGGGCCAGTGCAGGGGCCTGGGCTGGCGGGGGCACTCCCAGGGTAAAGGTGGCTGCTGCCACCCCTGCTGCTGCCACCATTCCACGTTGGGACGTGCCTGGGCCCCACGGAGGGCAAGAAGTGTGGGATTTTGGCTGCCTGGGAGGCTGTTGCAGTGAAACATATCATCCTGGGGCTGATATTTTGGGAATGAAGAAAGTCCCAGAGCAGCACTGGGAGACTCAAGCTGCTGTTCCCACCAGTGCCTTCCTTAAAAACCTTGAGGCTTCACCCATGAATAGCTGTGGAGAAGGAGGCCTGACTGGGAGCCAGCGTGAGGGGGGACCTCATGAGGCCACGCAGGCCCATTGCTACCTGGGCTGGGGTAGCAGCCCAGGATGGTGCTGATGCATCTCAGGGTGCTGCACAGGCTGGGACGGGGTGGGTGCATGGGGCTGAACCCTCTTTCTTGTGCCGGGCAGACGTATTCACGGAGAACCCTGATGAGAAGTCCATAATCACCTACGTGGTGGCCTTCTACCACTACTTCTCCAAGATGAAGGTGCTGGAGGTGGAAGGGAGACGTCTGGGCAAGGTAGGGGACGGCGCTGGGACCATCGTGGAGGAGAAGTTGCTGGGGCATGGCCCGAGTGCCCAGGCATGGGGGGAGCCTACAGGGCGCTCACTGCCAACCCCCGCTGCAGGTGATTGAGCACGCCAAGGAGACGGAGCGGATGATTGAGGGCTACAGCAGGCTGGCCTCCGACCTGCTCACCTGGATCGAGCAGACCATCGCCTCCCTCAACAGCCGCAGCTTTGCCAACTCCCTCACTGGGGTGCAGCACCAGCTCCAAGCCTTCAGCACCTACCGCACCGTGGAGAAACCCCCCAAGTGAGTGCCCTGAGCCCCTCTGGCAGCACTGCCGTGCCCCACGGGGAGGAAGCCCCAGGAGCGGGGCTGGTGCTGTGCCCATGGCCAAGTGGCATGGCACCCACGGGTGCCCTGGGGCTGAGCTCTCTCTGGGGCAGGTTTCAGGAGAAGGGCAACCTGGAGGTGCTACTCTTCACCATCCAGTCGCGGATGCGGGCCAACAACCAGCGCGTGTACTCTCCGCATGAGGGCAGGCTGGTCTCCGACATCAACAGGGTACGTGGCCTCCCCATGGTGCACGCCAGCCTGGCTGTTCCTGGTGCCAGGGATCCCCAGTATCTCCAAAGGGCACCCCATAACTTAGGGGCAACTTCTTCCCTCAGCCCCCCTAGGGCTTTTTCTCCCCTGGTCATGCTGGGGCAGGAAGGTCCATTCTGGGGCAGGACGGGGCATTTGTTGCACCCTTGGAGGTGCCAGGCTCCCAGCCCCGCCTGCTGGCGCAGCGACGCTCCCCCCGTCACTGGGCACGTTCCGGTTTGCTAGCAGAGCGTAACGTCGCTGGGAAGCCTTGCAGGGGAGGTGTGGGACTGGGTTCGCTCTGTGTTTGCCCAGGCCTGGGAGCAGCTGGAGAAAGCAGAGCACGAGCGGGAGCTAGCGCTGCGCAACGAGCTCATCCGGCAGGAGAAGCTGGAGCAGCTGGCGCGGCGCTTTGACCGCAAGGCGGCCATGCGGGAGGCCTGGCTGAGCGAGAACCAGCGCCTGGTGGCACAGGTGAGGAGGACGTGGGCGGTCGGGGATCCCGGCCCAGCTCAGGTACCCCTCTGGCACACACCCAGAGCGGGCATCACCAAAGACTTTTCTCTGGGCAGGACAATTTTGGCCAAGACCTGCCAGCAGTGGAGGCGGCCAAGAAGAAACACGAGGCCATCGAGACGGACACGGCCGCCTACAAGGAGCGTGTGCAGGCCATCGAGGCAGTGGCGAAGGAGCTCGAGGCGGAGAACTACCACGACATCAAGCGCATCAACAGCCGCAAGGACAACATCTTGCGGCTCTGGGAATACCTCCTGGAGCTGCTGCGTGCCCGGCGCCAGCGCCTCGAGATGAACCTCACCCTGCAGCACCTCTTCCAGGAGATGCTGCACAGCATCGACTGGATGGATGAGATCAAGGTGAGCGGCAGGTTGTGCTGTGGGGTCTGCCAGCCTTGCGAGCTGCACCAGCGCATCAAGCGTTTGGTTTCTCGCGGTCCCTCCATGTTGATGCCCGGCGTTCAGCAGCACCCACTTCCCTGGGTTAATGCCACTGCAGATTGGGTGCCTTAGCGCCACCGGCCGGCTCATTGATGAGACCCTGCCAAGGAGGTGGAAGGGGAGATCATAGGATCTTCGTGTCCTGGGAAACAGCAGTGCGTGGAGGGGCATTTAGCTCTCAGAGAGAACAGTCCTCAGCACCTGGGAGCCCCTATTATTCTGGTGCTGGAAAAGCTCAAGACATCAGGCTACAACAGATGCGGTCTGGGGGCATGGAGGCAGCTGGAGAAGCAGCGTTAGGGTGTATGGCTGGCAGCAGCGCCCAGGCTGGGTGCCTGCAGGGGTGTCCGGCACTCCTCCGGAGAGTCCTCGTGGCTCAGTGTTGGGACGTCCCCACTGCCCTGGCAGAGCTGTGACGGCTCGTGCTCTCCCGCAGGCACAGCTGGTGTCACCTGAGTTTGGGAAGCACC